GACTCCAAGATCAAGAGTTGCATGCTCTACCAGTTGAGCCAGCCAGGTGCCCCCTCAGTTTCAATTTCTAATACATCAGTATCAATAGTAAAACCCACATATAGGTATACCTCATTTTATTGCTTTTTGCTTTATTGTGTTTTGCACATATTGTGTTTTTTTATAATTAAAGGTGTATGGCAGCCCTGCATCAAGCAAGTCTATCAGCAGTGTTGCTCACTTTGTGTCTCTGTGTTACACTTTGATCATTCTCATATTTCAGACTTTTTCATTATTATATTTGTCATGGTCTGTGATCAGTGATCTTTAATATTACTATCGTAATCGTTTTGGGGCTCCACAAACTGTGTTCATGTAAATATGACAACCTTAATCAAAAAATAGTGTTCCAACTCCTCACCGCCCGGCTGTTCCCTCATCTCTCTCCCTCTGTGATGGCCTCCCTACTGCCTAAGACACAACAATATTGAAATTAGGCCAACTAGTTACCCTACAATGACCTCCAAGTGTTCAAGTGAAAGGAAGAGGCACACATCTCTCACTTGTAAATCAAAAGCCAGAAATGATTAACCTTAATGAAGAAGGCATGTCGAAAGCCAAGATAGGCTTAAAGCTAGTACTCTTGTGCCAGTTGGCCCAGTTGTGGATTCAAGAGAAAAGTTCTTGAAGGAAATTAGCAATGCTGCTTTAGTGAATGATAAGAAAGCAAAATGGCCTTATTATTGATATGAAGAAAGTTTGAGTCATCTGAATAGAAGTTCAGTCATAACCTTCCCTTAAGCCAAAGCCTGATCCAGAGCAAGTCCCTAACTCTCTTCAATTCTGTGAAGGCTAAGAGGTGAGGAAGCTGCAGAAGGACCAGAGGTTGGTTCATAAAGTTTAAGGAAAGAAGCCATCTTCATAACCTAAAACTGCAAGGTGAAGCAGCAAGTTATCCAGAAGATCTAGAGAGAATAATTAATGAAGGTGACTATCCTAAACAACAGATTTTCTATGTAGACAAAACAGCTTTTGATTGGAAGAAGAGGCCATCTAGAGCTTTCATAGCTAAAGAGGAAAAGTCAATGCCTGGTTTCAAAGCTTCAAAGTACAAGCTAACTCTCTTGTTAAAGGCTAATGCAGCTGGTGACTTTAAATTGAAACCCATGCTCATGTACCATTCTGAAAATCCTAGGATCCTTAAGAATTATGCTAAATCTACCCTGCCTGTGCTCTATCGGTGGAACAACAAAGCCTGGGTGACAGCACATCCATTTACAGAATATTTTAAGTCCACTGTTGAAAACTACTGCTCAGGAAAAAAAAAATCTTTTCAAAATATTACTGTCCATTGGCAATGCACCTGGTCACCTAAGGGACTCTTATGGAGACATATAAGGAGATTAATGTTGTTTTCATGCCTGCTAATACAATATATCCATTCTGCAGCCAATGGATCATCAAGGAGTTATTCTGACTTTCAAGTGTTATTACGTAAGAAATATATTTCAGATGCCTGGATAGCTCAGTTGGTTAAGCATCTGCCTTTGGCTCAGGTCATGATCCTGGAGTCCTGGGATCAGCCCTGCAATGGGGCCTCCTGCTTCTCCCTCTCCCTCTGCTGCTCCCCCTGGTTGTCCTCTCTCCCTCCCTCTCTAAAGTAAATAAATAAAATATATATTTAAAAAAAGAACATTCATAATTCACGGAAAGAGGTTCAAATATCAATATTAACAGGAATTTGAAAGAAGGTGATTCTATCTTTCATGGATGACTTTGAGGGATTCAAAACTTTAGTGGAGGAAGTAACAGCAGATGTGGTGGAAATAGAAGAAGAACTAGAATTAGCAGTGAAGCCTGATGATGTGGGTGAATTGGTTCAATCTCATGAGAATACTTAATGGATGAGAAGCTGCTTATTATGGGTGAGAAAAGAAAGTGGTTCCCTAAGAAGTATTCTATTCCTGGTGAAGCTGCTGTGAAGATTTTTGAGATAACAACAAAAGATTTAGAATATTGCATAAGCTTAGTTGATAAAGCAGCATCAGGTTTTGAGAGGCTTGATTCCAATTTTTGAAAGAAGTTCTGTGGGTAAAATGCCATCAAACAGTATTGTATACTACAGATAAATTATTCATGAAAAAAGGAGACAGTGTGACAAACTTTATTATTGTCTTATTTTAAGAAATTGCCATAGCCACCCAACCATCAGCAATCACCACCCTGATCTGTCTGTCAGCAGCCATTAGCATTGAGGTAAGACCCTCCATCAGCAAAAAGATGAAAACTAGCTAAAAACTCAGCGGATAGTTAACACTTTTTAGCAATAAAGTATTTTTCAGTAGACATTTTAGGGGAGCCTGTGTGTCTTAGTCAGTTAAGCATCTGCCTTTGGCTTGGGTCATGACCCTAGGGTCCTGGGATCCCGATGTTGGGCTCCCTCCTCAGTGAGGAGTCTGCTTCTCCCTCTCTGCCTGTAGTTCACCTTTTTTGTGCCCTCTCTCTCTGTCAAATAAATAAATAAAATAATTTTTTAAAAGGTATAGACATTTTAAAGACATAATGCTATTGCACACTAAATAGTATACTGTGTAGTGGAAACATAGCTTTTACATGCGCTGGGAAACCAAAAACTTTTGGACTGTGATATTGGCTTTATGGTGTGGGTCGGAAACCAAACACGCAATATCCTCAGAGTATGCCTCTGTGCAAAAATGGAAATACCCAATAATTTTTGAGATTGCAAAGGGATCCTGAGACCAAAAATTTTGAGAACTGCTAAGACTTAATATATCATCTACCATTACATGGTGTCCTCATTGCTCAGCAACACATTTTATTGGTTAAATTATTTCATTTGTTTCATGAAAATTACTTTATTGAATGCTTTCTCTGTATCCTTATTTTGTAGCACAATAACTAATTATTAAAATGTCTTTTTCTATGTCCCTGTTTGTGTCTAAATGCGTCTTTTGAGCAGCACAATGTGGACTTCATTTTTTAGTTCAGCCAGCAATCAGCAATAGTTGATGCATTTGTTTTATGTTCTACCACCTGCAGTTAATCTTACTGTTATTTTTGCTTTCTTTAAATTTATACTTTCTGTAGCGCACCTTAAGTTTTTTTTTAAAGATCTTATTAATTCATTCATGAGAGAGAGAGAGAGAGAGAGTAAGAGGCAGAGACACAGGCAGAGAGAGAAGCAGGCTCCATGCGGGGAACCCAATGTGGGACTTGATCCCAGATGAGCCAAAGGCAGATGCTTAACCACTGAGCCACCCAAGTGTCCCTGTAGTACACCTTAAAATCTTTTTTTTATCAGATAATAAAGTTCCCTCATCTATCTTTCTATCGTATCAGCAGCATCATATTTTAAAGCAACTTTTTATTGCTTTCTATAATTTTGCTATTCATAGGATAGTATTCAGAAAATAAAATTTTACATTTCCTTCCCTCTGGAGATGAAGATGGAGTCTAGTCTGTAATATGTCTTGGCAGCATAAAGTCTTTTATAAAATTATGCATATATACCTTGCAGTCCTGTCAGGATGTAAGGTAGCTTCCCACTTGAATTTTCTTCATTTTTTTTTCTACTTTGTCCTCCATAAATGTTGAGCACTAGCTAGCCCTCAACTGTTGTCAAATCTCCATTGTTTTCTGGAAGTGAACTTCACAGCTGTGAGGCTTTGTTGACACATTATTTCATCTCCTGTGGGTCTTAAATTATTTTCCCTTACCCTGAAGTGAGAACTCAGTGACTGTTCCCATATACTATGCTTTGGGTCATAACTCAATTTCTCTTAATCTTGTGTGAACCCCCTAACCCCTGCCCTCAACTCATATTCCTTCTCCCAAAACACAGGTACCCAATCTTATCCTAACAGTTAAGTGGTTTTCTTGACTCTTGATAATTTGCAGAATTCTATACTTGCCCTATGATGAGGGAATTTTTATGGCTGGTTAGTTGGTTTTAAGTTGAAAGACTTAACAGTAATATATCTTAAATTCTTTTTTTTTAAGGGTTGTTCCTTACTGAATTCTTGCTACAGACATACCAAAGTGGTTATTTCTGTATTTCTGTGATATATTCTAAATTACTATGGGTTTTCATCTCTGATCCTTTGATTCTTACTAGATCATTGTTTAGCTGGATGTGGGCTTTGGGGGCTAATTTTGGTTCAATAGTGCTAGTTATTTTTGCTCCTGGACCAGATCTCCTCTTCCCTACATCTTCATGTGTCTTGTTCCTCTATAGCATTTATAAACCCAGTTTAATAGCTTAGTGCCTTTTTTGTTTTTGGCACTCATTATTTCTTCTTTATTTGCTGTTAAAGTAATAAGTGTACGTTCCGTTGCACTTGCCTGAGAGTCTTGAACCAGTCTTGGGTTTCCCGCCATCTGGGTTCTGGCTGGCTTGCATTCCCCTTTGATGTTGTAATACTTGTTCATTGAACTTGAGTGTGGGGCTTATATGGCTTGTTTGCTTTTTTTCCCCCCAAGATGTGCACATTTTTTTCTTAAGCTTATTTTTCTGTTTTGTGCTGTTATTTTTAATTGCTTCCGACTGGGAGGTGGGGCCAAGAGTGAGATTTGGCTTCTATTTGGCTCTCTTTGCTATTACTCACATTTCCCCAGAAGCCCCGCACACACTTTCTCTCTGCCTTTGACATACCACTTTTGAAAGGCCGTTGATTCTTGGCATAAATGGTGTTAAGAGGAAGATGGGCTCTGGGTAGGGATGTTCAGGAATCCAGTCCTGTACAGTCATGAGCTTGGCCATCTGGAAGTCTCTTCTTGCTCAATGAAATGGAGTAAACATTGTCCATTATGAAATCCACCACACAGGCTGCCAGGGACGAATGGGATCCCACCCAAAGCCAATCGCTGCTCTGACAGGGAAATTGGCTAGCACTGCCTGAGACTACTCCAGCCTCCCCCGTCCCTGATGTCACAATTCAGAGGCTGCTGCCTGCCTAGGAGGTTGTAGAAAGCTCTGTAGGTTCTCTCTGTGTGTCCTACAGGGCTCCTCGGGCCAGGTCTCTGTCTGATGGCTTTTAAGAAAAAATATCTCCCCCCCCTTCTGGGGTTCTTCTTGGCCTACTACTACTATTCTGCGAATGAGGAATTCAGACCAGGTAAGTACCAATGTATCTAATTTTGGAGGAATAGATAAAAAACACAGGGGTGGCTGGAGTATTTCTGAGGATCAAGATTTGTTCCTGATCCTCAAAGTTGTTGAACCCTGAGGTGGGACTGTATTTCTGTGTCTTTCAGATGTGGGCTACGGGTAATAGCGGTGTGGAGAGGGGTAATTATGTAGCCAACAGATTGCCAAATAGTCCATGCTTTATTTGGCACCTTTAATGGAAAGCAATTTCAGATTCCCTGCAAAAAATGAGGGTAATTCCAAAATTTACAACACAGCCAGAAAATTGGGCTCTAAGGAGAGACTGATAAGTGGGAGGCAAGAAAGGACTCTGGAGTTGATGACTAAATAGAAGTGAGGGAAAATCCCTGGAATCTCTATGAGCACATGTGTTTTGATGACTTTTTGAGTTTTATTTCAATTGAGTAAAATTGGATGAGTCCAGAAATGTCTGGAACTTCATTGTTTTAGCTGAAGCATCTGTCTATGGACATTTTTAGGAAGGACAGCAAGAAGCCCTGTTTTGAGCAGTAAGCTATACCTCCATTTCAGAGCATGTTTATGAAAGACTTGAACTATTCCTTCATTGGTTTATGCAGTTTGAGAAAAGGTGATATGGGCTCATAACCTTTAGGCATTGAGAGAAGGCTGCCCACAACCAGAGTGGAAGGAAGACCACTGCCGAGTTGGGTATGGGCCTTACTGCCTTTTCGGTTTCACAGAGATGCTCCAAGGAAAGAAAGTAATTGTCACAGGGGCCAGCAAGGGGATTGGAGAACAGATGGCCTATCATCTGGCAAAGATGGGAGCCCATGTGGTGGTGACGGCAAGGTCTAAAGAAACTCTAAAGAAGGTGAGTGTTCTGTGCCCACAGACGTGGGCACATGCACTGCCTCATGTCCAGATGTATTATATACTCACATACACAGACCAACACACACAGAAGCTGGCACATCCATACACAGATGCAAACTCCCACACACAGGTTCAAACACCCATAGGAATATAAAAATAATGAATTTAAGTGTCTGTTCCTGTGCACACACACACACACATATATATGCTCATAGACATGCCTATGTGCACACATTTAAATATGGAATTATGGATTACATAGATATGTGCTCAGATACCAAAATTTTAGTACCTACTCATGATTTCATATTCTCATCCCCATTCAGACTCTCAGACACTTGCTTTCTCATATACTCAGACTCACAAACCCACAGATACAAACATTTACAAACTTAGGGCTACCCACATGGAAACTAGCATCCATACTAATAGTGAATTCAGATACATCTACTCACAGACACTCATAAGCACAAGTTATGAACTTAAACTCCAGCACCGTGATGATTTCTTTATTTACACCCTACCTGAAATACTTCAGACAGAGGACAAAGATCATGTCAGGTTGCCTTTAGCAACACACACACAAACACACACACACACACACACACATTCACTGAACTCACACTCACACACACATATCCCTATCATTTTTATCAAAACAGGGTTGTGAGCAACTTAATCATTTAAACCCCCATTACTGGAGTGTCTGGGTGGCTCAGTCAGTTAAATGTCTGCCTTCAGCTCAGGTCATGACCTTAGGGTCCTGGGATTGAGCCCCGTGTCAACAGGGAGCCTGCTTCTCCATCTCCCCTTACCTGTCTCCCCACCCACCCTCCCAGTTTGTGTTCTCTGTTCTCTCTCTCAAACAAATCTTTAAAAATAAATAAGTAAACCCCCATCACTTCAGAGCTTGCTCCCAAAATCTACAGCCAAGATTGACACCATTGCTGCTGTGTCCCTGCAGGTGGTATCCCACTGCCTAGAGCTTGGGGCAGCATCTGCACACTACATTCCTGGCACCATGGAGGATATGAACTTTGCAGAGCAATTCGTGGCCAAAGCTGGAAAGCTCATGGGTAAGGCTGCTTCTCCTCCCTCCTCTTCTGTACTATGCTCTACGGGTCACCAGGGAGCTTTGGGGAGGAGGAGAATGAGAGGAAGGGTATTACCCCAGATGGTTTCTCTCAACACAACCATCTCTCTTGCAGGGGGACTAGACATGCTCATCCTCAACCATATCACCAACACTTCTATGAATCTATTTAGTGGTGATATCCACTTGGTGCGCAGAAGCATGGAAGTCAACTTCCTCAGTTATGTGGTCCTGAGTGCTGCTGCCTTGCCTATGCTGAAGCAGAGCAACGGAAGCATTGTTGTCGTCTCCTCAAAGGCTGGTGAGTGGGGCAAGGACCAGTATGAAGGCAGGAGTGGGAGACACGCCAGGGATGGTACTGGGGGCTCTGCAGGGAATGTGAATTTTTACACACTTCTACATAGAGAAGTAACACAATATAAACTAACATCTTAAATAGTCACAGTGAAAAATCAACCAATCAGTCAATATTCGCAGTGAAATTAAGCAAAAGCTGTTTAACATCTTGTCCCTATGCATGACAGGCAGGCATATGAATGTGCGGCCTGGGTATGTCAACTCAAGGAGAAGCCTGCATGCTGAGTGAAAGAGACAGTTAAGAACAAGTGGGACTATAAGAAATAAGAGGCTATTCAAGGTATATGGGCTGCAAGATCCCTGGAAGTAACAGAGAAAGAGCAGTAATTCAGAGTGCCCATGAGAAACTTGGTTTGTGATCTACAAATGGAAGTCTAAATGGACATTGAGAGATTGTGGAGGTATAGCCCATCCTGATCCTAAGGTGAGAGATGTGGTCATGAGGGATAAAAATGATTTTGCTTCTGCCATGACCAAGAACGATAGGCTGGTGAAGTTAGTTGACACAAAGGTAGAATTGAGAGGTGGAATATTTTAACATATGGGTGTCTGATACGTGGGTTAAGCTAAGCCAAATGAGATGAAGAATAGAAAAAAATACACCATAGTAGCAGATCTGCCTAAATTGGGAGTGTTCTCCAAAATCTGGATTTATTGCCTTAAGGGTCCTGTTTAAACAACCAACGGGGTAGGAAGAGAGCGTTGCACAGAAATATTCATGAAGAGAACACTGTGTGATCAAGAGAGGTCATTGACACTTTGGGTGGGGATAGTATCAGAAGTTATTACCAATAAAAAGCTAGACGGTTTCCAGCTTGGGAGATTCATTTAGTCATGGGGCCAGGAGAGAAGTCCCACACCTATCTGTTGATTAGTCAGAAGGATGTAGCAAGCACCAGGATTAAAATCAGCAATCTAAACGTGGTTCCTGGCAATGTAAAAACAAATAACCTGAAGACTTTGAAATTCTTAAGTATTTCACAAACTTTTATTAGCTATTACTGTAACTAAGAACACCATCTATGTTGTAAAGAATTCTATTTCCTGGACAGGAAAGGCCTGCATAGTGATGGGATAAAAGGGCAGTGTGTCTGTGCTACCCGCCAAAGGAGTGATTGATATGCATCCCTGTGCTTCCCAGACAACACAGACTCCCAACCCCTCCCCAGACACAGCCTCTCTCCAAGCTGAAAGGAAGGGAGAGCTTCCGGATGCATACTGAGTGGGAGGGTGCTGGGCACATCCCCAATCCATCCTAGGGCATTGGCCAAAACCCTCACATCAGTCATGGTGTAGGTGGCTTTAATGATTTTAGTTGATTAAATAATATATCCACTCGAGGCAAACAGTGTGCTTCATCTTTGGCTAGGGAAATTTAACTTTCGACAATGTACACAGTGTCTTAATGTTCTCAGAAGGAACAAGAGTTACTGTAGAAGTCCAAGGGCATGATGAAAGTCTGATAACCCCTGCTTCCACACGTCTTCTACACTTACCAAATGTCACTTCACAATGTGTGTGGACTCGGAGGTGGGAATCACGTTGAACTACTATCCTTCACGTCTGTTGTTTGTATAGTCCAAGGACTTCAGCCTGTTGCTTTGAAACATGTCTGTGAACTTGCAAAGTACAGACACTTTGCTTTCTGTCCCTAACTGAAGAATTTTTCTGTTCTATGCTATATATTTTTTGTAAACATCCAGCAAACACATTCATTAATCCTTCCTCCTTAAAATCTGAATTCCACAAACATGGGATGCTAATCCTCAAATTGATCGTGAGGTCAGCCAAAGAGTATTGGGATGGATTTTTAATCATTCCTTCCAGAAATGCATTAAGTGGTCATTTATTGAATTATGCTGATAAGCAGTTGTTTTTGGTTTTCTTTTTTTTTTTTTTTATCTCCAGGGCATTTCCAGGTATTGCATTACATAGAAAGCCTATATTTTTCATACACTCTGTAAAGCCTCCATATAAATATGCTTTAGCATTGAGACTATTTCTGCCTCTGGGAATTTCCTTACAGTCCACATCTATCCACCATTCAACACCACTTGGGGCACCTACTGATCAAGTTTCTATGTATATATAATATCTAGTTACGTTGACAAGTCTCCCCTTCTTCCACCATGTGCTGGTTTGGCTATGAGTTGAGTTACTATAACAAGCATCCACATTTACACTGACTTACACAAATCACAATCTATCTTTCTTTCATAAAACAGCCCGGAGTAAGTAGTCCAAGGATGATACAGTAGTTCTGTCCCACAAAGTTGTCCAGGAACCTCTCTGTCTCAGAGCCGCCATCCCCGGGGTGTTATCCTCACCTGTATATCCAGGATGGTTCAGCACCCTGTCAGAATTCTAGCTACAGAAAATGGAGAAAGAAGGATACAACCTGAAAGTTGTATTCTCCTCTTCTACCACAGCTGGCTGCAGTTGTGGTCTTTATTCGAAGTGGATTTGTGTCCACCTGAAAACCAGGAGTTCTGGTTCTACAAAAGACACTGATGTTGGTAAGCAGTGTCTCCCTTGTCACCCATGCCAAGATGCCTACAAGATCAGAAGGCGGTATTCCCTCCAGGCCACCCCATGTGCCTACCGCACATCATACACTCACACTCCGGACTTGGTCTCTCCAGATTCCAGATCTGTTGTGCAAACAAAACCCCTTCCATCAGGCAGCAGTGCAGGAAACAGTGGATCAAGAGGAAGCACAGAAAGAGAATGCCTAGATGGTATTTGTGAAACAAACAGAGACAGAGATATTACTACTCCAATGTGACTGGAAAAGAAATCACTGGATTGGGCAAAGAACAGTTGAAAACATCTGGAAAAAGTTTATCTGCCATTAATCAAAATGGGTCTTCTTGACTTAGGTTCAATTTTCAAAAAGTAAAGGTCACTGCATTTTCATACCCCTTGGCTTGGTGAACCCTGTAACTATAGCCCATCACATCAGTCACACACATGACAGCCAGAAACCAACTTCTTAGGCTGCTTCTCTGCCCCTCTTTTACTGCCCTTCGGGACACACGGACAAATCCTGTGATCCTCCTGCCCCCTTATCCTCTCAGGGACCTCACTTCACATGAAGTCTTTGTCAGTTCTCGCCAGAGCCCTTTCCTCTTTCTCTTATTCAAAACATTTTAGAAAACTACCTTTAAAATTATACTCCTCCCTCTCTCTCTTTTTTTTTACTTTATTGGTAATACAAATATGACTAATAACAATTATAATACAAAGGTTAATCACACTGGGCCAACATAAGTGTAAGGATATTGATTCTTCTGTATCAAGAAAAATGTAAGACATACTTTGAAGTGCAACTACACATAAAAAAATTCTGGATTTCTTTAAATATTAAAAAAAAAACCCTAAAGGAATGAGAGCCTTGCCAATAACCTCTGAGTGCTCAGACCTCTCTTTGCGAGCACCATAAGCGTCTCCAATTCATTATTCTCCAAGTAGATCCTCTTTTGAAAAGATCAGCTTTCTATATGTATTCCTTTTCTGGTTTACTCATTTCCAGCATTGCTTCATGTATTTTTTTTACATAGATGTGTAGTATTTCAGACATATTACGAGATGAGTAGCTAGGGGCCAGTACCTCATAAGACAATGCTTTTGTGGGAAAACTCAAACCAATGTATGAAGTCACTTGTTGGATCTTAACCTGTTTGTGGGTTAAGGGCTGCCTGTGTGGTCTAAACCTACTTTAAGAATTCATCATTACAAAGAGGGGGGGAAAATAAAATAGGTTTCTCCACTAGAGATATCAACTAACAGGATTTGGAATACCCATATGGTGTTTTGCATCAAGGCAATAATATACAGATGTTAATCTCATCCTTGCTTTCAGCTCTGCTTACCCACTTTTTCCTGAAAGGCAGACAATGTCCCGATGTATGGATATGCCTTGGAATGTGGTGGGGAGGGGAGGGCCAAGGTCAAGGTCTGGGGATGCAAAGGGGCCTAGGAACTAGAGTAGGAAGGGGTGATTTATCCCTCACCCAACTGTTTTATGTTTTTCTAAGATGAATCTTTACCCTTAAATCCAATTACCTCAGAAATAATTTTCAGGAATCACACTTTACAAGGTGAGTGACAGTGTTTTTACATGTGAATAGAGGTATTTGTGTGGGCAGGAGGCAGGTGCTGCTTCAGACTTGAAGATAATTTGAGGAGAATGAAGGGAGACAGGGGAAGATAAGGTATGTGCATGTGTAGATATGTCATCTATAGGGTCTGGAAGATGGCCAGAAAGGAGATTCAAGTAAGAATCCACAACCTGGACGTAAACATTTCAGGAGCCACAGTTGTCTCAATTCAAGAGGTTGTGTTTAGGCAAACCTGAAGGATTGAGACAGAACCCATTGGTGGTTGTGCCAGCCGTGCAAAAGGGGCAAATGGAGATTTGTGAGGAGAGAGACTCCCTGCTGAAGACAGTAACAATTTAGCACAGGTTGAGAACCATGCAATGCCATCCATGACAACCATTGCTCTACCTTTCTCCCTTGAAAGGCTGGGTAGAGCTTAAGTAATCATGGCTATTAACCCGACTAAACTATTGGTCTTGTTCCAGTGCACTTCCTGGTGAAAATAGGAGAACCCTACCATCATGTCTTTATATTTACCTACCGAGGAGTTTGAGAAGGCTTAGAACAAATACACTCTATTTGGAAATATACAGATAGAAAACTAGATCTTAAGCAAAGAAGAATATAAGACCTGTTGAATCACTATGTTGTATACCTGAAACTAATCTAACATTGTGTGTCGGTTATACTTCAATAACCCCCCCCAAAAAAAAGGAAAAGAATATTTAAAAATGCCAGAATTAGGGGTGCCTGGTTAGCTCTGTTGGTTGAGCATCTGCCTTCGGCATGGGTCATGATCCCAGGGTCCTGAGATGGAGCCCCATGTCTGACTCCCTGCTCAGCG